AATCAGAGATAATGGATATGAAGGAAGAGATTATGAACGATGCGATAGATGATGCAATGGAAGATGAGGGAGATGAAGAAGAAAGGTATTAACAAATAATAAATTATTATCACATGAATTATTGAAGCTTTAATTAAGATATAGATGTCAAATTATAAATAAATATGAAATGTATGTCTTTTATGATTTTATATATATATATATATAAATAAAATGAATACATATAATATTCATATTCATTCTTTATCTTTCCAGTGATGCTGTGGTCGCTCAAGTGTTGGATGAGTTGGGGCTACAGTTAACAGATCAACTGTCTGGATTACCACAAGCATCTGGATCGTTAAGCGTAGCTGGCTCTAAACAACCGGTTGCTACTGCTGCGGGTAATGAGGATGGAAGCAATCTTGCGGATGCTGATGCAGATCTACAAGCCAGACTCGAAAACCTGCGACGCGAATAAATTCAGATTTAAACTATTATTATAGTTAGATAATGTATAAAGAATGTATAAAGAATCGGCTTTATAGCAAAGAGGAACGGCTTTAAAAAAGTTCACTCTTACCTTATAAAGGTTTGTATATTTAATGTACATGAATTTAGGAGATTCTTGTCTGCATACAGTTATCTTCTTGAGTATAATTCATCTTCATATTTTATATACGCACTAAATTTTATAACTATTCCTGTATGGAATATTCTCTGTAAACGCCTAAGTTTGTAATGCAGATATATATAGGAGATGCTATATAATAAAATATATGACATTGGAAATATGCTATTGTTCAATTTCTATGTCTTGTTATTTAAAATAAAGGAGATTTTAGGTTAGAACAGAGTTTCTGGAACACCCTATATATTTTATGTAGATCTCAAGACGCAGCGTTGAATAGAAATTTTTATTTTTTTAATCAAGTTAGGTTAGAGCAGTTAGAAAAACTGCTAAAAACTTAAAATTAATATATTTTAAAAATTAATAAATTGCAATTAGCAAGTTAACTCGTTTCAAATTAACTACGTCAAGTTATGAAATTAAGTTACTGTTTGAATTTTATTACCCAATTTGTCTAACAGCATATATCATATGAATGTTTTATACTTATATAACATAATTCAAGTCATGTGTGCATACAAGAATAAATTACATGGATTTTTTGAATACATTAAGCAACAGTAGTTACCACTGCAGCGTTAATTTATCGACGCGACCTTCATTCGGAAAGGCAGCGATGACTTGCAGTAATTCTCGATATCGACACACGAACGTTTTCGCCAGCCGACGCACACTCACACGTCAAAATATTCCCAATTTCCCTATTAGAAAGAGAAAGAAACCAATCTATATCTTGCGCACGTGGACAAGAGAAACATGCGGAGTAGAGAGAAAGAAGCGAGATAACTACGAGCGCTACGAACAGTCAAAAATTTGAAGATTCGAAGTAGTATTAAGACGAGAGAGGAAGAGACATTACTATCACGGGCTTTAAAGGCGGACGAGAGAGAGAGAGAGAAAGAATATGATGTAACGATCTTCGTATCGCGCCCGTGACGGTCTGCAAATCCGTCATGATTGCCCTTTAACCGAACGTTACGCCGTACGTTACTTCTATCTCTCTTATTATACTTCCACGGAAGAAGGAAATAACACGTGGCGGCGAGGTGGTGCCTGATACATGATATGGATTACTCGGCACTTGATTGACCTGTCGGAGACTCATCGAGGAAGACACGAGATCGCAAGTCAGACTTATTTTCCGGCGGTTTTATACAATAAGACACAACCGGAACATGATACATCTTCCACGAGCCAGAAGATCCTGATATCACACGATAAACACGGACTCCCGTCCGTTTAGCTTTTTGCAACAAGAATATAGATCTCTGGTATTGATACATGCTCATATCCTAAAACATTTTTCGTTCGTTAGATAACAAGTTAATTTCACTTGTTTTTTTTTATCTATTTTTTTATTTTCAGAATACCAACTATTCGATCAAGATTCGTCTTCGACAGAATGAGTCAGCTACAAACCAATTTAATCGCCGCCGCTATCGGGGCGACTATCGGCGTTATTAGTGCAGCCAGTATTTTTATTTATCAAAAGGTTTTGGAGAAACAGCAACACGCCATGAAGAATGCTCACCTAGACGAAGTAGATCGTCGCCTCACTGAATTACAAGCGGAATTGGAAAGATTGAGGTAAGTAGTAGCAGTCATTGATACTCGGTTCTTTACTCATTGATCTCATACTTCAGGATGTATGAGATATTTTTAGTACTTGGTACAAAAAAATTTTAGCGCAATCTATTCTATTGTAATTAATTAATTAATTAAATATATATTAATAGTTTACATTGGAATTCTTTTGATAGTGTATATCTTTTAGAAATAGAAAACTTGAAAAGAACAAATTTTATATCTTTTTCATTAGAATGATTAGAGTATGGTGACAAAGGACGAATATTTTAGGAATATCTTATGCTTTTTGTGTAATTTAACTTGATGGCTTTACTATCTTTAGAGTACAACAAAATCAACAGAGAAAGAAAAAGAAGCTTAATAGACGTGATAATGATAATACATATACTACAACAGATAATGATACCGATGTGGATGGCTTTTCGACAGCAGGCGATGACGAATTTTTTGATTGTTCAGATAGTGAAAATGGTATAAGTGATATCGAAAATAGGTCAGTTTAATATTTACACAACACGCATATGTTTAATTATTGCAGTCTTTGATTTGATATAATTTTTTCATGAAACATATTACATGTGAACTAATTATTTTATATCAAAAATATCCTATTTACGCACATTAGTTCAATCCACAAATTTTTTAAAAGAATTTTTGTGTTTGCATACTGAAATTATTAATATTTTCTCATCTTTATCGCGCATCCGGAATTATAATTCGAAACTTAAACGGGAAAGATTATACGCTTAGTGATGCAGGACAACTGAAGCCACCTGCCCTGGATTAAACCTTTCCACTTTTGATGCACATTACCAACAAAGTGGCTATGAAGAAGACGATTATCTTGAACTACGAAATCTCGTAGATACATATCCAGATCACGTAGATGTAGTATGGAGATATGCCAGAAGTTGTTACAAATATTCAACTTGCACCACTGATGCAGATGTAAGAAAATCCGTTATTTCTGCAGGTATATATAATTTTGTAATTTTCATTGTTTTAGTTATTTAATAAAGTACTTAATTGCAACAAATTATCATTTTAGGAATTGATGCCTGTGAGAAACTTCTTGCTGTACCAAACGTAAATCTACACAAATGGTGCGCTATACTTGTAGGCATAAACGGTGACTTTATGCCAATAGCGGAAAAAATAAAAAACGGTTATCGTTTCAAAGAACACGTAATGAAAGCTATAGAGATATGTCCAGATGATGCTGACCTACATCATCTACTCGGCAGATTTAGTTATGAAGTGGCCAACTTGAGTTGGATAGAAAGAAAGGTACATATTTTATCGTGACTTGGTGAAATTTTTGTCAATTAGTTTTTATATATGATATAATCGATTTGTTTCTTATGTAGATTGCCGCGTCATTATTTTCGGAGCCGCCAAGTGCCTCCTATGAAGATGCGATTGATTATTTCCGAAAAGCGGAAGATTTTTCAATCAAAGTGAATCTGGAAAACAGACTGTATTTAAGCAAATGTTACATAGCGCTAAGCAAATACGATTTAGCTTGTCAATGGCTAGAGAAAATTTGCGAGCTATCAGATATAAATAAAACCGACGAAATAATACAAAACGAAGCACATCAACTTTTCGCCAAATATTCGAGATATCGTCAATAACAGAAACATTCATTTTCATAGATCTGAGAATGTATCCATTCCATATATTACAAATATATTAATCGCATAATGTATATAAAGAATTTTAAATGTGAGGAGAAAGAAAAATGATATAACTAATTTTAATTATAGATAAGGAGGTATAAAACAATTTTACTATAGACAGACTTTTTTATGAAAACTGTATAAAATAGATAGTAACTACAAAATAGTGTCTTCAAAATAAAAAAATACAAAATGGTGCGGAATTTAGGGAATAACTTTATTATGAAAAATACATTTTTAGAGCCATTATTTAATTATATAAATATTGGGCCTACCATATGGTTTATCCTGTTTGTTATATAGACTGTAAATTTATTATGTTGGTTTTATCTTTCTATATTGCCTGTTTCCTAATAAATGATATAATATAAGCATCCTATGCATATAATTATTTTCTTTATGGTTAAAAACTATTGTCAATAATTATATTTGTCCTTTCATTTCTTCAATTCCCTCTGAGAGAACTCCATTCCCTCTGTCTTTTTTTTTTTTCTCTTGAATGTAATTATATATAATATTTTATTTTTCAAATATACGTGTAGAAAAAATTATATAATAAATATAAATATGTATAATAAAAAATATATAAATAAAAATCAATTTTCAACGCATAAAAAATTTATTAGACGTAAAAAATGGTTACTGCTTTTGGCTCTTGATACTTAATTATTTTTATGACTTTATATATATTTAATAGATAGGGGAAGGGGAGTTCTTTGTCTCTGTTATCAGCTATGTCATTACCACGAACTTGCGACGTAGCTAGCCAAATTAGAATTATATATTCTTTTTAAGAATGTTCTGGTTATACAGTCTCAAATAAAAGTTACTTAAATTAGAAATTGATGAAATTCCATGTTTTTATAAGTTGAGTTATGCATATGTGCTTGTATCGTATAAAGGACTTAAATAATGGTAGTTAATATGACATTTGGCACTACAATTGAATATATTTGTATATTTTGCAATTTTTATAATCGGCAAAAAATTTTTGGAGAAATTTTACTTGTAATCAACTATAGGAAACAAAAAACGTGGCGCATATTGATAATGCCACGTTTTGAGCAGTTGAAATATGATTATAACTCATTTTCGGAATTTTGCATCGCTTTATTATTAATATCTCGATAACAGGTTAGTGAATCGATATGAATCTTTTTTAAAAACATTGCTCAGTATTTTATTTACTCACAAAGTTTCAGAATATTGGCAATGTTGTTTTTTTATAATTGTGTTGATATAAGTTGAAAATATGCAGATAATAAATAGAAACAATTTATTAAATTTTCAAGCTATTTGTTAAAATGGTCAATGTTAAAATGTTAGCGCCAGTATATCCTTAATACCATGTGATAATCAAAATAAATTGTTTATACATATACATATATATATATATATATATATATATATATATATATATAATATATATATATATATATATATATATAGTATTACTATATATATATAT